TTAGCATACATCTACTTTATTGTTTGTATTTCAACATATACTTTTACCATAATGAATGAGTTTACAGCTTATAAAATGTATACACATTTATAGTTTATACTTAAAGAAGTACCTTTCGAAACTATGATCTCTGAAAATCCTTTACTCATTACGAAATAGGTTCCATTTTCAAGTAGTAATTCTCACAACTACGGTTTTAATAAATGGATTACACCATTATACCCATAAGTGTTTATCTGTAATATGAGTAAACTCCAGTTAACGAAACTGTACTTGATCCCTTAATAAATGTTCACACTAATGCTTGTTATGTGAAACAACTCCTCTGATGTTTTAGTCGAAAGAAAGGAAGAAAAATATATCATTTCAATTAAAAAGCCAGACTGCAATTTGAATTAATCTAACAAAATGGCTGACGATCTCGGCACTTAAGTTACATACTCGTCGAATTATCTTAAAGCCTAGCTTTTTAAAATACTGCGGTCTTTATGAATACATGGAATATGAAAGTGTTAGCTAACAAGACGTAGCATCGTCGAGATATCGACTCTCTCTCATGATCTCTTTCAATAACAAAAAAAACGATGTTATAAACATATTTCTTTATATCCCATAACCTCAGTTAGAAGGCACGCAGCTTCATACTTTACAGTGACAATGAACTCGGCTTCACATAAGAAATAAAGTTGTTTATCCAATTCAGTAACTTTAATTACAAGTTGGGTCATATCACTTAGTGATATCATCACTGCACTATTGACCAACACAGTACATTGAACCAGTATAATAAATCCGGAACGTTACTTTCTGAAGTAAAAGTATTCAATAACACATCGTGTTTAAGCTAACTTACATCATGAACTCTGATGATTGATGCGTATCTTCAGCTCTGTGGATTATGTCATGTTCTAAAGAGCAGCTTGATATTTATAATTTATTATTGGTCACTTTAGAATCTCACCTAATTTAGATGACAATTGCGTTTTTTGTTGTACTTGTCACTTTTGCTATCTAACTTTCTGAAAAAACAAGATCTGAACGTATTGATATAATTCATCCAAGCGTTCTTCCGTTTACTAGAGAATTCAATTCAAATATTGCTATGACACATCTTCCTATTTCCCGTAGCCTAAATAAAAAACTTGCCTGCTATTTATACCATAAAATTAAATTTCAAAAGAATATACGAGCAATATATTATTTTGACTTTTATATGGACTATACATCCATGAAATGTAATACCTATGTTATTATTAAGTACTTATGGACATAAGTAATTATGACTACAAATATATGCATATATAGAAAATTCAACGAACACATATCAGTAATATAAAAACACAGCATATTACACGAAACGATACATGAATTTTGTACTTAACTTGGCATGTTCCTGTAAAAATAGCTATTTTAAAATGAAATTCGTTACACTTCAAATAATAAATGTCCTACAGTCCTACCGTAAGTTTATAGAAATATTTAGGTTTAATTACTAAGATAAAATACTGGTAAAAGCTTTGAGATCTCTTATACTTTAAAGAAAGTACAGGTATTATTTTAATTCATTTTATTATATGTTCTTTTAAGGAGTCCTCCGTTGGTCAGCGGTAAGTTTACGGATATACAACGCTAAAATCCGGGATTCGATTCCATACGGTAGACAGAGCACAGATAGCTCATTGTGTAGCTTTGTCGAAGGTTTCATAAAGTTTTTAAAATATACTGTTCATTACTTCACTGGTGTTTTGTACCCCCCCCCCCCCGCCCTTTATTTGATGATTGTCTCACAATGTGCGCATAGATATCATCAAGCTGTCTGAGTTTACCGCTCACATTATCGTATATTTCTTCTCCACACTGTGCCACAGTTGTTGAAGCTTGTTGGCTTCTCTCGGGCCACAATGGCTTTCAGTTATTATGGACTCTAATTTGTTTGTTTTATGAAATTTCGCGAGGGCTATCTGAGGTTAAGCATCTACCCAATACAAATCTTGGAATAGTGGAACTGGCCTTCACGTGATAACCACCCCACGGCTGCAAGGGCGAGAATGTTCGACTAAGGGTTTCTATCTCGTGTCCCGCAGATTGAGAACCAAGCGCCCTAACCACCATACCCCTGGACTTTGAGGAGAGCATTTAATTATTTTTACTATTACACCTCTTCTTTCGCTCCATATCTTGTCCTGCTTAAAGTAGTAGGTGTTGGGTCACTGTCTTGCTGAAATTCAAACCTATTGGACAATTAGACGAAACCACTTTGCAAAGCATGATGCATGGGGGGAAGGGTTGGTTCTATCTACATAATTCCTTCAGTTTTTCACTATGTCTCGAACACCATATGCTGAGATATAGCGTCAAACTTTTATTTATCCTGCACCATTAATGCTTGGAGACGGCTTGAATGGGTAATGAAGAAAAACTTTAATATAAGTTTAACATAACAGCAAATGTACAACGTTTCGACAAGGTTATGTCACCATCATGATGATATCTTTCAATTAGTTAGTTTTGCACTACAAAATCTGGTTAATTAGTAAAGACGTTTTCATGAAAGAATGTATGAAGTCTTTCTTAAATTTTAAAGAATTATTAATTCTTGCAGAAACATTACAGAATTCATAGTTAATCATATAACTGAGTTTCAAATAAGTCATTAAATTATATCGAATAACTTGTGGAAACACGATATAACTTGTATTTAATGACATCAACATAAAAATTCTGCTATTATTAAATGAAACTCATGGTGAGCTACATGTAAAAACATTCATCTTTCCAGCCTAAGAAGTGAAACCTTGTTAGATTTTTGAAATATAATGCAATTTCGGAAGAATTATAATGTTAACTAGAAAAGCCAACATTCGCAAGCGAAGTCAATGTGTCCTCCCCCCCCCTCTATTTTATTCGATACGATCTTCGGACACAGTAGGTTTCCAGAGAAAATGGTTTTCAAGGTAGGTGTATACACTTTAGAGGGATGGACACTTAAAACAAAACTAACTTGAAACTTCTTTGTGAGAAAGATGTATTGGAGCATACTAAATTGTGACTTTATAATCCATAAACTATTCAGTCGTAAAGAGATCTATTTACAATGACAGAAACGTTATAAGTCACTCTTGGGGCAGATAATGTCATTAGGCGTTTATATACATTGCGATTTTCTTTTTCCTTCAGTCTGCGGAAGTTATTACAAGGTATCTTTCTGTAAAGTCACATCTAAGTTGTTCGAAATATAGAGAAATGGATGGGAAAAGTCATATTTCTGTGAAATGTTTGACTTTTGTAAGACTGCAAGATAGGCACTAATCCCAAATCTACTTTTTTTCATTCTAAAAGGCTTTTGCAAGCTATCGTTGTGCGTATCGGATCAATGTTTATGCTCCTAAAAGTTTCAAGATGATCGCCCCCCCCCCCCCCATTTCTGTCAAAGCTGCTTAGATTTATTCATATGTTAGAAAGTCATGGGAATCTTTCTAAATTGAAACGTGATAAACTAAACTAATTTGTGCAAAAAAGGATATCTGTTAAGAAGGGTGCAAAAAGGGTGAAGTAAATATATATTTATGTTTATTAATTTTCAGGTTATATGTGTCATTGAAGAAATAAAAAAAGATACGAAACTGATTCAAAAGCTAATAATTTTGCTTTACTCAGGGTCAAAGGTATTGAAAATATAATAGGTTATTGCACTTGGTAGGAACGATTTGCATATGCTGACACTTGGAATATCGTCATAGCTGCAAGCGTTACGGCGTTACCTATATAGTTCGTTTACGTCGAATTACCAACCTTTCGGCAATGCAATGCCATCATGAATATTCTTGTAGCTAAAGAATTTATATATGACAGTCGTTCAAACTAAAATATTCGTATAATGAAATTTTTAGACGATGTAGAGCGAAATGACAGAGCATTTCGAAAAGAGTCTTCAGTAATATCCAGAAAGAGAACAACTTCGCACAGTAGACTGCTTAGGACGGCAGTGGATGTACAACTACATATACGGCTTATCTGGATCAGCGCGTTCATCTACAGAGTGAAGATTATCCATAGAAATGAGGAATCCCATTGTAAGTTTATTAAACAAACTTTTAAAACGGCAGATGATGAAAACAAGAAAAGAAAGGGACAAATTACGATGTAAGTATCCAGAATTTGTTGACATTTATACTAGGTTGACTGAGTGTGTTGCTGAGTGTGACTGAGTGTGAGGCTTCTCTTTCTCTTTCTTGTCTATCGTTAACATCCCATTATCTTAGTATTATTCCAATTTATCGTATGTTATTCTCTGGAGTGATGAACTACTTCATGTTGATGCTATGACAGTTATTGGAAGTCTACAGGAGGAAAATCAAATCTAAACTTTACATTAATGGTATGTATTTTTCATAAACGAAAATATAATCTTTTTAAAGCACAAGAGAGACAGGGAATGTAGGGTAAACAGCGGATATTAGTGTTTTTGCTAAGTTGAAATTATCTGGGACACCACATTTATCATGTTCATGACTTTCAGTAACTGTATTTTAGACGATAGTCTTAGGAAATTTGTTGATGTGATGAAAACGGATTTTAGATGTTGAATACCGTGGAAAATACAAATGATTGTAGTAGTATAAATTGAAGTTTTATATTTCCTCTTTTTTTATATGTGGGGTAAGTTGAATTCCAAGGTACTTAAAGATTAGTATAGGCGGTTTTAATACAGATTTGTGGAGAAGCCTTCATCAGACCTGTGTATGAGGAATGATAAAGTGTTACATGTTTCTTATTCTATGTTGAAATGTATAGAACGATGTTGTTTGTTAAAAACTGGGCTCCTTGTGAAAAACGTCGCCAAAACGTCGTAGAGTATGTTGTTCACCAATGGTATTTCAACTGCTTTATTATTGGTATACTTAAATTGCTGTATTTACAACTGCAATTCTCTGACACTCACTTGCCTCTTGGAGGACCCAGATAGCTGATTGAAGAATGTAAGCGAATAGATAACATACCAATGTTTGTAATCAGAAAACCCGGGATCAAATCCCAGCTACTACCAGCCCACACATTCCGTCTCAGAACTTTCCTGAAGATGGCAACAGATTAGAAGCTGAAACGTAGGATATAAACTAATCAGTATCTAGTTGTGAAAAAATATGTAAGTAACTAATTCATAATTAGACTAAATTGGACCGATTCAATTCCTAACCATGACAACGATTGCTATTCGATTGTCATAGTGTTACTGTATGGTACTTGTACACTTTCTGGATTTTTTGTTTATTAAAATTGTCAGAACTTGTTTGAATATCTGTTGATATTTAATCATAACAAAATTGTTCCAATCTCAAAAGCATAGAAAATCAAAAAACTAATATGAAGTCCGGAAATTAAATTAAAAGAGTGAAGTTTGACAAGATGATATATATATACATATAGTTAACCTCAAGGGATACTTAGGATATGTGGTAAAACATGTTTTAGATTGCAAGCATGTAAAGGTAAAGTTTTAAGTGAATATTATCATATTTCCTAGTGTTTCAACAGTTATATGTGCCAAAAACGTAATCTTTCGCATTCAAACATTTATAGATGCTAATTAAGACTTCACGTAAAGTTAGAAAACAGAGAATAAACATGTTTTATAGGATAACGACTGCGTGTAATTAAATAAAGAACAGGCTAAATGATGACTGGTGTGTGAAGACATATTGGCTAGATGAGTATGCGATTTAGTGGTTACGATGATATTTGACATGATGACGACGATATGACTCAACTATGAACACTATTACCTTATTTTTTACCTTACGAAAAATAAGGACTAGCCATATGTTCAGTAATAAGACCTCAGGCTAAGTCTCCTCGTCTGAGAAATGTTTATATTGGGTTTTAAGACACTTTATCTGAGGCTAACTGATATGTGTGTTGTAACAAAACTTTAAGTGTGCTTGCAGTATGTTATTTCTTTCATTAAATTAATTTGTATTGGAGATAAATGTATACCAAGAATGCACAATCCCAATAAACACCAAGTTAAAGCTAAGGGGGCATCGCGAAATGATACACTCACATAAAAGTCTGAAAAAGTATATACATATTTTATACATATTTGACACATTTATTCACAATATCACAAACATTGTTTTCCATACAGTTTGTACTAATTTAAAATGAATTTCTATAACATACAACGGTAGATATGCAACAACGCAGGGAATAATACTGTGTAAGCATGCAGGTGAATTAACTGCAACAACTTGTACAAAAAAACTTTGAGTTAGTTATGTTATTTGGGGTTACTGTTTGTGGCAATTCTAAGTTCGTTTGTGAACGGATAATACATATCATACGAATGATTAACATGTTCAGTTCCAATCCTCAGGTGGTTAGGGTGCTCGACTCGCAATCTGCGGGTCGCGGGTTCGAATCACCGACCCACCAAACATGCTCGCTCTTTCAGCCGTGGGGCATTATAATGTGACGGTCAATACCACTATTCGCTGGTAAAAGAGTAGCCCAAGAGTTGGCGGTAGGTGGTGATGACTAGCTGCTTTCCCTCTAGTCTTACACTGCTAAATGAGGGACGGCTAGCGCAGATAGCCCTCGTGTAGCTTTTCACGAAATTCAAAACAACATGATCACTTTATTTACGATGTAGCAAATTGACTATATTTTCCTTTAGAAATATTCAGTTTTTACTAAAATTGAAAGCACAGAAAATGGTGTTTAATAACATATTTTTTCAAACAATGCATCAGAAGCGCACGGTTTCATACACAAGAAATGTCGCAGATAAAATATCGTTTTTAATTAAATCACACAGTGTATCATAAAGTGGCGCTTATAAATGTTTTATGATAGAGCTTAGTATTGGTGCTGATTTTCTTTAGAGCAAAGCTACGCAATAGGCTATCTGCGTGCTGCACATAACGGGGAATCGAACTCAGATTTTAGTGTTGTTAGTTCATAAACTTACCGCTGACCTACCGAGAATAAAATGCAGCTTAAAGTAAATATGTGTATATAATAAAGACGGCTGATATCTATACTAAAAAATGTTATTTAAAACACGAAACAAATAACTAAGTTTCAACCTCCTTATATCATCATCATCTTAACCTGATAATGATCTAAGAAGGTCGAAACTTTATTATTTGTTTCGTGTTTCAAATAACAGATGGAGTTTTAGAAGACTAAAAATTAGAAAAAGATCAAAAACTTATATGAATATATTTTTAGCTGTACTTGGAGATTTCCGGAAAAATAACCGCATTTTTTCCTTGAACATGGCATGAGCGTTTAAAAAGAGTCTCGACAGAGGGCAGCAGGAGACACGATGCAGCTGATATATTTGTTCCGACTTGGTACTTCGAATCACAAGTAATGTGTGGGACACAGAGAGAAAAGATTGCCAACTGTCATATTGGCGAGGTGAGTGGGCCTCCACTCTTACAGGCACAGATGGCTTTATTTACTCAGGCAAGCGGGATGTTACAGACTGCGCGCGCACTAACGCTTTCTCTCATCTTAGCCCTCAGGCACAAACAATGGCCAGATGGGCGCGTATTGACTGTATACACAGCAAGTATAGACTGTCCCACCAACTGCATCGTGTAGAAAGCACTAGTTAAACTAAGGGGTGAGAGGTACAGGAGGGGCATTCTTAATTTTGACTTTTTTTTTCGTGAGTCATACGAAGAGAGATTACATCGTTTCGCAAGGCTCAACATAGAAACAGGAATTTTCTGGGACTATAATAGGAAGACGCGAGTTCATAAAAATAGAATATCTAGTATTTAAAAAGCAACATTTATTTCAATAATCACTACCTTCCTCAGATTTCTATACCTTGCTCAGTCACTCTTCACTTCTTCGCTGCTAATAACAGTTTTCCATGTTTACTTATGAAAAACATATACACGTTAAAAAACACACAGATTATTTCATAAGCTATCTCTACCAGTATGTCCTTGATTCTGCTAACGGTGGACATTAGACCACAAAAATATTAATTTATGACAGTCCAACAATTTTTTTATCATCTATCTAAAAATTGCGTTCCGAGGATATGAAAAGCAAAAATAAATAATATATATTCAAATGTCTTTCAGCTGTTTCTATTGGCATTCAAAACGTTAGCGTGGTACCGTATAATGCGAGAAAAATAAGTTTACATTAAGTTAATATAAACTTCGTTCAACACCTATTTCTCCAATATAAGTTAGCCAATCGTCAATATTTGAAGTGGGTTAGAAAGGCAAAATAATCAACATTAACATATATACTATCCAAACATTTTTATACCTATTATTAGTGAAACAGGATATGGCATGAAAATCTGATTGAATTTACTTGCGTGTTTCATATAACCTAATTTGGTAATCCACACTAGAAGGTATGGAATAAAATTAATAACATTATTACCCAAGTTTATTGAAAAACGGAAAACATTGTAACAATATTGCAAGGTATGACAATGAAAAAATAGTTGTGTTTCCAACAGTTTCTCCTGCAAGAAAAGAATTGGTGCTGGAGGATATGATACTCAACATTATGTCAATGTAATTGTTCATTAATTAACGACATTAAGCATCTCGTTTGTCAAATAGAAATCAATACAGAACAAAAAAAACTATATTAATATAATCGTTCTTATCAGTTTTCGTTTGTAAATAGGAAATCGACTGTAGAGTGTAGTGCATTCGAAAATTTGTAAATAAACATATACGTTTAAACGGAGTGTCTGCAGACTTATAACGCTAGAAACCGGGTGCCCCCAGTGGCATAGCGGTATGTCTGCGGACTTACAACGCTAAAATCCGGGTTTCGATACCCGTTGTGGGCAGAGCACAGATAGCCCAATGTGTAGCATTGTGCTTAATTACAAACAAACAAACATAATTTCCATATTGTTCTTTCTTTTACTTCTAGAAAGATGATATTTATGTTTATATACAAATTTTCAAGTGCACTAAACTATACAGTCTGCTGTGCTACTGGGGGGTGTAAATTATGAAACAGAAAATTCAACAAACTAGAACAATTTTGATTATGCCATTTCTGTTGTGAAATGGGGGATATTTACAAAACACAATACGAATAATATTAATACAAACATTTTTTTTCAATAGATATTTATGATAAAAAATATGTTAAGGAAGTTTCTGTTTTATTATAAACCTCACGAAAGAAACTCGAACTTGTTATAAAATTGTTATTAATTGTTCAAAACTTACACAATATGAATATGTTTCGATCTCTGATCTGACATGTTTTCAGATCGAACAAAGATCTCAACAAGTGATATATAACATTTTAAGGTTGATCTCATACACATCTGATCATTGAACCTCAGGAGCCCCACCCTCACTAGATCTCTCCGCCTTCTTTAGCCACAATTTAATTACATCATCGCCACCTTGTTACTGTTAACAAGGAAATGCTATATTGAACAATATTGCCCCCTTCGCTAACCAAACTGAATTCCCGGATGATGCTATTATACAGAAACAACATTTTAATTTTCTTAACCGCCAGGCTTTGTATGGTATTTCGAAACCAACTTTAACCAGAAATTTGGCAATCCATACATATGGGCTATAAAAGATATAAGTTTCCTTTCTGAATGATTACTCTTATCAGGCAACAGTACTGCTATATGCATATACTTAGAATGTTTACCGATTCAATGATTTATAAATTACCACATCATTTCAGCAGGAAAAAGTATATTTCTCAAACTTGTCTCCAATTTGTAGATATAAGATATAATAAGACTGAAACCTCATTTGAAACAATAAACAATTATTATAGCCAACACTACTTTACAATATTATACAAAAATGTATACTATACCCAACAGCAATTCATAAACCACGTCTGGATGGACGTCCTCTGATATATCGATGTATTGATTTAATATCTCACAAATCCTACAAAGCCAACAGTCAATGAAATACG